AGAGAGAGAGAGAGAGAGAGAGAGAGAGAGAGAGAGAGAGAGAGGAAGAGAGGGAGGGAGGGAGGGAATATCATGGAGTCCTTAGGTTGAAAAGGATGAACAGTGAGGCAGTTACCTAAGTTGCTAGATTCTCCTTCTGCTTGCTCATCTGAGCTGGCTTCCTGGCACTTGCAACTGAAGAACTCTGAGTCAGACAGTTCTGAGTACCTACCCCAATGTTTGGCACACAGGAAGTACAAAAGTCATTGATAACTTGGCATGGTGGTGCATGCCTGTGATATCAGTACTAGGGAGGCTGAGGCAGGAGGATCACTGTGAGTTCAAGCCCAGCTTGAACCACATAGCAAGACCCTGTCTCACCAAACAACCCCAAAATAAAATATCACTGGTAGCTATTACTACCACTGCTAATAATCAGGAAGCGAGGGTTGAGTGATTCATAAAAGTGCGCGAACTTGTATGCATGCTTTTCTCCACTGCAAGAATTTCTTCGTTGTTCACACTTGTACTTTCCCCACAGCTTGGAACAAACCTTAGGAGAAAGGCAGTTTCTCTGTCACTGTTTCCTCTTTGTTCCTTTTGGAGCAGCTCCTCGGTGCAGTAGGAGGATGAGGGCAGGATGAATGTGTGACTGGCCTGTCTTTCATCTGCTGGTCTCTTCTCAGTGTTCTTCACTTCCCTGGGGGAAATTACAAGAACGTACAGGAAACACTAAAGTCCATGCGATCTTTACGGGCAAATATTTGCAAGTTCGTTCATGCATCTGCCAAGAACACTGGGCTGATACAGCTGATCACACGGCAGTGACTCAGTCACTGGTATCAGACCCCAGAAAGGGATAAAGATTCCCTGTACGTACAAACCGTAAATTCGGATCGCAGGGACAGGCAAGGAATCCAGAAACTCATGATCCAAGAGAAGGCTAAAGTCTGCAAGAGCTTTGAAGGCGAGCTAAGTTCACGTTGGAGTTCTGCCATGTGCTGTGTGACCCTGGGCAAATTGCTTAACCTCTCCATGCTCGTGTACTTGACATGGTGACCACAGAGCTTAGCTTTGTGGCGAGGACTGTCACCACAGGTCAAGTTTGTAGCACAGTGCCTGATATACAGGAAGCAAGGCTCTGTAATAGCAGCTGTTACAGGAGAAGGTTCCCAATGGAGGGGTTTGAAGCTCATGTGCACAATGGGAAAGCCTGATTGGATGATCTCTCCTTCAGCTGGCTCTTGAAATTTGAGTAGACGTTTCTTCATGAAGAAGCAGGTTAGGGGTATTCAAGCAGACAAAATAGCAACTAATGTGTATGCGGGTGAATGAAGATGTTGTCATACGCCCCCCTGGGCATGGTGTCACACCCAAGAGAGGGTGTGGTCCCAGTTACAGAGGAGGCTGAGGCAGGAGGATCACTAAGGTCCAGGGGTTTGAAACCAGCCTGGGCAACACAGTAATAGCCCGTTGTTTCAAGAAACAAACAAACAAAACCTACCCTGTCATCTACTTCTTCACCATAGGTAAAATGACTAGTATTTTAAAAACTAGCACTGGAGCCAGGAATGATGGCACACACAGGTAACCCTACCACTGTGGGAAGCTGAGGGAGGAGGATTACAAGTTGGAGCCTAGTCCAGGCAACTTAGTGAGACCCTGTTTCAAAAGTTTCAAAAAATATACTTTTAAAGGACTAGTGATGTAGCTTAGCATGAAGGCTTTGGTTCAATCCTCAGTGCAACAAAAACAAAACAGAACAAAGTACTAAACTTGGACTAAATCAACTATGATTCTAGCAATGGTGTCTTTTCCCAAATCAAAAGAAAAAATTGTTGAAAAAATAGTGTCACTTGTAGGGTCTTCCAACGCAACTTTTTCATAATCCTTTGGAACCTGTTTCTGCTTGCAGTTGAGGGGAAAATAAAACAAACAACCCAACAGGGAAAAACAAGCAGAGACCAGGCTCATGCCTACAATCCCAGTACTAGAGAGGCTGAGGCAGGACGATTATGAGTTTAAGGCCAGCCTGGGAAATTTACCAAGGACCTTGTATCAAAACAACAACAATAACAACAACAAAGCAGAGACATATTTTTTCCTTGCTATGATTGTAGAAAAACTCACTATGTTGCCTCAGGCTGGTATCCTGGGTTCAGGTGATCCTCCTGCCTCAGCCTCAGCTCTGACTGCAGGTGAACACCAATGCACCCAATTCATCATATTTCCTATATTTTATATCTTGTGATGCGAATCCTACACAGACTTCAACTCATACCTTCCACTGCTAGAGTCCTTAGCTTCTGTGACAGACTCCTACCGAGATGCGATTGATCACGGAGTTCTGATCAGTCAGCGCTCATCACACAGAGTTCTGCGGAGAACGCTGGAATTCTGCGTCCTCTGCCCCAGACACCCCACCGGCTCCTGTGCAGCACAGGCTGGGCTCCTCCCACAGTTGGAGCCGGCTGGCAGAACAGCTGCAGGAGGACGTTCCCTAACGAGTGGGGCTGCGCAAGTCCTCCCCAGCTGACAAGTTTCCAAGCACAGCGAGCGCCTCTTGCTGCTGGGCCCCTGTCCCCTCGCCAGCCAACTTTTCTGAGTGCTTCCTGTGAGCGAGACGCCCCTTGAACCCCGCCGCACTCGGTGAGGCAGGTACCCACGGTGTTCCTGTGTTACAGACGAGTTGCTCATGCCCAGCACAGGCTAAACAGTGGTGGACCTAAATCACACAGAAAGCAGAAGGGAGCCGGAGCGGGGACCTGTCTGTGCAAAGTCAAAATCCCAGCTCCTAACCCATGCTGCCACTGGGGAAACCAGGAATAATTGACGCCCACCTGTGAGTACTATTTCCCATGGCCTTGGTCACCTTTTGCTCTCTTATGGCCGTTATTTAAAAGACAAAACACCAACTTTCTATGTCGTATTAAATTTTTAAATATACATTAAAAAACTAGCTAAAGTAATACCATATATCATTATTTAGTTCCAGTAGTTATCAACATGAGGTCAGTCTTGATTCATGTATTACCCACTCTGCCCCCACCTCAAATGGATTATTTTATTTTTTTGAGTGGGTTTTTTTTTTTTTTAGACAGGATCTTGTTGTGTAGTCCAGGCTGGTTTTAAACTCATGGTGATTCTCCTGCCTCAGCCTTCCAAGTGCTGGGATTATAGGTGTGCACCACCACGTCCGACTCAAACTGGATTATTTCAAAGCAAATTCCAGACTTTATGTCATTTCATCCTTAAACATGTCAATATGTATGTCTTTAAACCAAGATTTATTGGAATTGGGGGTGTAACTCAGGGGTTTGATCCCTAATACCCCAAAAAAGCTTAAGAAATATTATATAACAAAAGCTATTATAATACTTTAAAAATAAAAGAAATTATTTAATATAAGCTAAAAGTCAACATTCAAATTTTCTCTATTATCTCAAACATCCTTTTATGGTGGGTCTGTTTAAGTCAGGATCTAGTGTTTTGACTGACATATCTCTTAGGTGTCTTCTAATGAATTACATTTCCTCCTTCTTTTATTTTCCCTGATTTTTGTGTGCTGAACAAAAATCAGATTATTCATCCTATAGAATTTCCCATTCAGATTGGCTGATTTGGCCGGGCGTGGTGGCGCACACCTGTAATCCCAGCACTCGGGAGGCTGAGGCAGGAGAATCGCTGTGAGTTCAAGACCAGCCTGGGCTACATAGTGAGTTCCAGCTCAGTCTCAACTACGTGGTGAGACCCTGTCTCAAAAAAACAAAAAACAACAACACCAAAAAAACCAGATTGGCCGATTGAACACAGGTGCAGTGTTAATGTGTCTTCTGCAGGTCCTGTAAACTGGCAGATGTGGATAGCCACCATTTATACAATTATTGAAGTCTAACCTAGATACCTAAAAGTGCACAGAGCCTATGTGTCAACACATTTTCGTGTACTGAGCACACTCTTGTAACCAGAACTAGCCGGAGTGTGGCTTAGCATTCCAAAAAGTCCAAGCCATAAAAAATAAAGAGCAAAGGACGCTGTTATAGATGAAACGAAACTAAAAAGATGAAACAACAAATATAATTTCTGACCCTTTATTGGATTCTGGCATGGCAAGTAAAGCCAATTAAACCCTTTGGCATCATTGGGGAAATTTGAATTTGGACAAAATACAAGGGAGAGGAAGAAAATGTGGCTATTTGGTAGTAAGGCAGTAATGGCAGGTGTTTTTCATTGTACGGTCCTCTCAACTCTTCCAAAAGATCTGAAAAACCTCTTCCTCTTTTTGATTTGGTTTTATTTAATTTTGTGTTTTGAGATAGTCTCACTATGTCATCCAGACTGGCCTCAGACTCACAGTGATCCTCCTGCCTCAGCCTCCCAAGTGCTGGGATTACAAGTGTGCACCACCATACCTGGCTAGAATTTCTAAATAAAACCATGATATGAAAAAATAGAAGGCACTGAAAAATGTTCATAATATCCTGGAACGTGGGGAAAAGGGTTTAAAGAACAGATTGATGGTATAAATCTACTATTTTTGTTTAATGATACAGATATATATCCAGGAAAAAAAGACTAGGAGAACTCATAGAAAAATATTGGTAATGTGTATCTGTCAGTCGTTCTTATGGTTTTCCAGGTTTTTTATTTGTTTTCATCGAGCAACACACACACACACACACACACACACACACACACACACAGAGGCACGTGTGGGATTAAACCCAGGCCCTTTGCACTGAGCTATATCTCCATTCCCTTTTAAATTGTTTTTATTTTGAGATAGGGTCTTGCTAAATTGCTAAATTACTCAAGGTGGGCTTGAACTTGCAATTCTCTTGCCTCAGCCTCCCAGGGTGCTGGGATTATAGGCATGAGCCACCATGCCTAGGTGAACATACAACTTTGCTGTTGTTGGTGGTGTTGCTGTTGTTGTTGTTGCTTTGTACCAAGAATCAAATTCAGGGTCTTGAGCTTGCCAGGCAGGTGCTGTGGCACCGAGCTACATCCCCAGCCCCAATAACCTTTTTTGAAGTTAGAAAACAAATATCTTTTCCTTTTTTGGTGTGGGGGATTCTAATCCAGAGCCTCATGCCTGCTAGCCATGCGCTCTACCACTGAGCTACTCTTCTGGTACCACTTAAAAAATAACGTTTTAAAGAACAGAGCTGGTCTCTGAGGAGTTTCCTTGCTGAGCACAAGACCGTGGACAGTGGTTACGAGGCCCACCCTCCCCTATTAAATTTACAGTGACCACGCGAGCGCCCCTCCTGTACCTCAGGAAGTGGTGGTGCAGCTCCTTTAGGTGACTGTCAAAATAATCCCACTCGCTGCAGTGGAGCCGGTTCAGCTGCTCGAGCTGGTCCCTGCGCTCCTTCATGTTGCTCAGGGCCAGGCTGATGACCTCAGTGTAGGTCGGGGTGGATTCAGTGCTTCCCAAGGTCAAGGAGAATCCACGCTTGGGGCTGTGCGGACCCCACCTTATCATCAGCCTGAGCCTAGTGGGGGGGGGGTGGCACGGTCCGGGGATGCCCTGAGTTTCTGTGTGAGTCCTGTGTGCGGAGCGGGGGGCAGCCCCTGCTATTGGCCATGGCCTGTTTGCTGCAGCCTGGTGGGTCCCCACCTCTA